CTTCCTTCCTTTCATCAAACTGCCCCTCTATCCATCCATTCATTAATTTGTCTCCATCATCCATATATTAATTATTTATTTTATCCATCCCTCGCTACATCCATCCATTGACTAATTTATGTCTCCATCCCTCCTTTCACCCATCCATCTATTAATATCTTCATCCATCCATCCATAAATTGATTAATTTGTCTCCATCCTTCCTTTCACCCATCCATCTTTTAATATCTCCATCCATCCATTATCCATCCATTCATTGATTAATTCATGTCTCCATCCATCCATTGATTAATTCATGTCTCCATTCCTCCTTTCACCCATTAATATCTCCATAAATCTATCCATCCATTGATTAATTTGTCTCCATCCCTCCTTTCATCCATCCATCCATTAATTCATGTCTCTATCCATCCATTCTTTCATTCTTCCCTCGATACATTCTATTCATCAAACTGCCCATCTATCCATCCATTCTTTAATTCTTCCCTCGATACATTCTATTAATCAAACTGCCCATCTATCCATCCATTCTTTGATTAAACCATCCTTCTATCGAAGCTGGAACACTCCCAGCTGACAACTTGTGAATCCCTATAATTCAAGCTTGTCGGACTCTCTCATATTTGTTAGATCTTCTCCTGTTTACTTTATTAATTAGCAGCCAGTCAAATCAATTATCACAGAACAATTTGCTGCAGCTGCCAAGTATTATAAATATGGCTTTCAACAATAACCCATTAACACTGACTTCCATTGTGTGTCCTTCTAGTGTGTTTACACAAGATGACTTGGGCATTTCCCAATAGCCTTCACTGGTTAAGAAATGACCAGTCCTTCAGTTAACAGATATTGAGTTTCTACTGTTCCATTTTGAAGTCCAATATATTGACAAATCTGCCAGACTCACTTCACCAGTCACTGATCTAAGAACAGAATCGGTGAACTTGAAATTGAGGAAAATGTAGACGAAGCCTTTTTTACCCATACTTGTTGTTCAATGCATTGCATGAAGACAAATCATAAGCAAGCGCGTTTTCGTAAACATGTAGCATGCTGTTGTTCGTCGTCGGACGAATGCATTAACCTTGTGTGTATCATCTCAACACCTTTTCTTTTTTTACTCCAGCTAGTGTTTGTAGTTCTTCAGAGCGGAGATGAAAATGACTGATGAAACCGATCGCTCGGGTCATTATCCTCCACGTTACAGGGCAGAGAAAATTAAAATTTGATTTGTGGAGGGGCTGTGTTTTGTCGTTCTGCTGGATAACCGGATGTGAAAAATGTGCCCCAGTCTCCTGCTCCTAGAGCGAGCCTATTTACCCCTGAACGAGGAGAATTAATTAACCTCCTTTATATTCTGGCCTCGTACTTGCAAACCCATCCTGATGTCTGGGATCCATCTCAGAACTTGCGTGGTGTTTGTTCCTTTGTCTTGAGAGGAGATCTGACTTCAGATCAGTTCTGCTGTGATTGTAATATTAGATGGGTTTTAAAGATGGAAGCTGGTTACAGATCAGCACTTGAGTGCCAGAAGGTTTAGTTTGATGAACGCTCTTGTTATAATGAGTGCAGTTGTGCACAAGTCACCTGAAACTCAATGTATTTGGAAATTGTCTCATGTTTTGCTCTGGAGGGTTTGCCTTTTGTTGTTTTCTTGCCGTCTTGATTCTTAATATTTGGCTGTAACAAGCAGAAAGATAATGACGATGTTTAAAATCGAATATTAGCTTACTGCATAAATACTGGATACTATCAATTGCTTTTAAAATAATAGTATGTGAAATGCATTATCGGTCAGTGGTTTGGATATATTGATTATTCATAAATTAAAAATTAATTTCATATATACACTACAGGGATCAACACTAAGGATTTTTTCTACTGGCCCGGTCGGGTTTCGAAGTTATGGTGTAATACAGCGTTTCCTTGGTTCCCGCTGTAAACACAGCAGCGCTGCGCATATTAAAAGGTTAGTTCACCCCAAAATTAAAGTTAGCCCATTAAGTACTCACCCTCAAGGCATCCTACGCGTATATGACTTCCTTCTTTCAGACGAATCCAGTCGGAGTTATATTAAAAATTGTCTTTGATCTTCCAAGCGGTTTAATGGCACTCAGCGGGTGTTGCAGTGCATCAGTCCAAAAGAAGTGAAATAAAGCGCATCCATTCATAATAAAAAGTGCCTCACACGGCTGCGGTGGGTGAACAAAGGCCTCAAAAGGAAAACCAGTCTCCTCTTGGCTTATATCGAAATCCTCCGACATTCTTCTTTACAAATGCTCGTTTTGTACTATTAATTCGTGATTGTTGTTTTGTTTTGATCTCTCCGCTGCGCTTCTGCGTTCGTCACTTCTGAGCGGCGCATGCGCAACGCCGACCTCATACGTCATCCGCCCGGAGCTGCTTCTGTGTACAATTGTTGTACAAGTGTCCTATATTTCGCGCATCATGAACAGTGATCTTGTTCTGCCTGCTACAGTATTTTCTCCTCTTTGTGTCCGTCTTCAGCATCTCTGGCCTCCATTAATGGCCGTTTACAGACTAAGTATAATAATAACATAATATTTCCACACAAATGGCCATTGGGAAAATGATTGCAGTGCAGTTTGTGTGCAAGCATGGAACAGAAGATAGTCTGAAATAAAACAAAAATTGTCCGGTAGATCGGTGCAGCTGTACTCCAGTGTATAAATTCAATATAGATTAATCATTGTTAAAGCTACAAAGTTACTTGACAGGACGGGTATTTTGACATACTTTTGTAAGTATTTACCCATTCAGGCGGCTCGTGAGTGTCAGAGACGCGGCTGTCTGTGCGCGTACTGAAAGGGGTTGTCTTTCGCGCCCAAATGCTTTTTAATCGCTTGAATTTTTAAATTAACAAGTCTTAAAAACACATGCAAATGATAAGTCATGACGATGCTGCAGTGTCCCAATCGGGCAAGTGACAAATCCATCTACAGTCCCGAATGTCTTTCACGCTGGCCCCGGGCCATCAGGCAGTCCTTATTGTCGAGCCCTGCACTACCTACAAAAGTTTACACATACACTATATACAGTACAAAAGTTTGGAGTCGGTAAGATAATTTTTCCGTTTTTGAAACAAGTCTCTTCTGCTTGCCAAGGCTAAATTTATTTGATCAAAAATACAGAAAAAAACTGTAATATTTAAAAATAATATTACCATTTAAAATAACAGTTTTCTATTGTAATATATTTTAAAATGTAATTTATTCCTGTGATCAAAGCTGAATTTTCAGCATCATTACTCCATTCTTCAGTGTCACGTGATCCTTCAGAAATCATTCTGATATACCTATTTGATGCTTGACACACATTTATTCTTATTATCAATGTTTAATACTAGTGCTGTCAAACGATTAATCACACATATATTATGTAAACAAAAACTTTTATTTTGGATGTGATTAATCGTTAATTAAAAATAAATATTAAAAATGTTAAAAATAATTATTTTGTAATGTGTATAACTCTTGCAGTCCAATTAAATAATGAACCAGTGGAGTGATTATGGATAACATGAGGGAATACAAGGTCAATTTGAGTGCATTGCATTATGGGATAGAATTCCTAGCATAATATGCTCAGGTCATCCAGGTCTTGTTTGCATAGAGAACATATGCATTCACAGTATGCATACTTATACACTTGTGAAATATTAAGTATGGTAGTGGGTTTGTGAACATAACCAGTCATTCCAGCTGTCAAATGAGACTCATAATAACTAACACAATATATAAAGGCCTTGATTACTGCGACTTCTCTTCGACAGTATTGACTTTAAGCCACTCCTAATCGGGTTTTGTGATGCTTCGGTGCAATTTTCAATTAGCGCTGAACATTGACATGTGACACATGACTGAAGCAGGAGATTAATATGGAGAGAAATGAACTGAGAGCTGAAGAGAAGAGAAGAGCTCACCAAAGAAAAGCTGCTGCATGTCTGACAGACCATCTTCTAATGGAAATACTGTTTCTGAAAGATCAGTGTTATTGGAGTCAGGAAACCTGTCATAAACATGTCCAGGTCACATTTCACCCCAAGATATATAAAAAAAACATACATAATTATATTTTGCATTAGGAAAACTAAGCCTGTTTTAGAATCATTATGATTTCTTATATTCTGATATTATTTTCATGACATTTTATGCACATTTTCACCCCATATCCTGCATCCATTTTATTTGAGTTTTTTTTTCTTTCTAATTTGTATTATTCTCAAAGGAGATTCACATTACAGTATTTATACATTTAATATACATTTAATAAAAGTAGCAATAAAGATAATATACAAATTATTTTAAATAACAATTATTTAATTTTATATAAATATTATATCATTATTTAAATATTTCTTTCTTTCTTTCTTTCTTTCTTTTTATTTAATTTTATTTATTTTTTCTTTTTATTTAATTATTTACTTAGATTTATTATTTTTTATAAATATTTTTGGAGATAATGTGACCCACCTGTCACATTCATCCACCTTTTATTATTAAATAATAATAATAATAATAAATAAAATAAACAATATTTCTTTCTTTCTTTTTATTTAATTTTATTTAAATTTTCTTATTTTTTTTTAATTATTTACTTAGATTATTATTTTTTTATAAATATTTTTGGAGATAATGTGACCCACCTGTCACCTTTTCTCATCTTTAAAAGCAATAAAATAAAAGAAAATAAACAATAAATAAATAACATTTATATAAAATATATACCCAAAAATATATAAAATATTTGTATATACATAAAAATGTCAGACCTATTTTTTTGGAACATAAACACACACACACACACACACAAACACACACAGATATATATATATATATATATATATAAACACACATCAGTAAAATGTTAATGTGAATATTTTAAAATATATTAGAAAATAACATGTTATTCATTTAATAACATCATTATTAATGGAAATGTGTCATGTGGACATGGCCGTCTCTGTTTCTCTCTTGCAGGAAGATGAGCCCAACGCTGGCACCCTTCATGACAACGATCAAGCTGAAATCCGCAAGTTCATCGCACAGAAGTACAAAAAGTTGCCATGGAAACCAGAGGTATGAGTATCATGCTTGTCATTTTATTTTTGTCATTTTATGTTGGACAATGACTCATTATCGCTCTCTTTTGTTTGTCGTCAGCTGTGTAAGTTCTTAATGAGAAGTTCTCAAACCTTCACCGAAGCTCTTAATAAGCGCATGCTGGCGTGGACCATTTTCTGTAACGTGCAATTTTGTGTAATGAACAAACTGTATTTCTGTCAGATTTTATTATCAGCTGTAATATTTGACAAGATTTAGCCCACGATTTCAGGGCTTGAGTTAAAGTGCTCTTTAGTATTCAAAGCCGCAGTGTGCTTGTTCTTGTGATTTTACGGAATTAACTGGATTGAACTGCTGAATCTACTGGATAAAAAAAAGAAGCGAATTTGGGAAATTACATTTTATTTCTGCCTTTTTTTTTTTTTGGCCCAATATATTAGACTAAACTGTGGAAGCATTTTCCCGCCATGGTATAAAAAATAAAAAAGGTAAGGACTTTTTATATCACAATTCTGACATTTTCACAATTCTGACATTTTTCCTCGCAGTTCTGAATTTATCTCTCACATTTTTCACTCTGAATATTGTAAGCCAGAACTGTAAGATATAAACTCAGAATTGTGAGATATAAATTCGCTATTTTGAGAAGAAAAGTCTTAACTGTGATATAAAAAAATAGTCAGATTCTGAGAAAAAGTTAGAATTGTGAGATAAAAAAAATGCAATTACCTTTTAATTCAATTTTTATTATTATTATTATTATTATTAAAATCATGAGATGAAAACTCTGGAAAAGAAAACTCCCTCTTATTTGCTAACAAATATGAATTTTAAATCAGCTAAGCAAAACACATCTATAAGATTTTATTTATTTATAAAACATTTTTTTTTTACAAATACTATTTCAAACAACAAAGCGAAAACAAATCCCCAAATATAATTACGTTAATAACAAAACGTATACAAACACAAACAAATCCCCAAATATATAAACTTTTATATATATATATATATTTATATTTATATATATTTTATATATATTGATTTCGGCTACAGATTTATAGTTGTAGTTAACAATAAAAACAATGCCGATGGTTTACAACTTTAATTTTGGCTATAACAACAACAACAACAACAACAACATTTTTTAACTGATGCGTCCGTGTGATAATAAAACATTATATTCTAATTTAATGTAAATTTAATTGAGGTAATTTTGATTTTACCTCCTATTAGTCCTGACTAGATGTAAAAAACTAAAAGTAAAATAAAGTAAAATAAAATAAAAAGCATATGCAATGAAATGTTGGCTAAAATGTATACAATATATAAAATGTATATTTAAAATATATAAATAAATAATATATATAGTATATAAAATGGAATGTTAACGATAAATAAAATAATCTGTAATATTGTCTTATAATCGATATGGTACTGATATATTATGCATCTCAAAAATTTTTGTGACTGCTCTATCCTTAGCACGGTTCTTCATGTTGTCTGTTTTTGCTTTTCTCTTGTGTGTTGGCAGCTGAACGTTGTGTTGAGCGTTGGCCACAGTTGCTTCTGGGGAATGGATGGCCGGTCCCTGACAGCTCTCAGAGGCCGTGTTATTTATAGGAGTGAGCACAGGTGATATCTGGCCGAATAACAGCCTTGAGAGATCAGGCAGATGTTCACAGCTTAGCAAAGCAAACACAGGCTGGTATCGCTTGAATTTAGAGCAATTCTTTTCTGAATCTGGGCACGAGAGGTATGGCTCGTGGTTTTGTGAGATCTGGCCGTTCTGATGAGGTACAACAATGGAAAAAGTCTGACAGACCTTGAACCCTTAATGTGGAGAGATGTAGGTGTGAGGCTAAGGGGAACGCTTTGATGGAGGATTGACGGTAATGGGCACCCAGACCATTAGCAAGACTACAGACCGTTGACGGGGTCTTGAATTTATGGCACTTTATAGATTAACTGTAACGCCAGTGGGCCGCACGATACATCAGTTCCATATAGAAGACTTTGACCTCTCAGTTTCATTTCCACTTTTGTCGCCTCGGTGCTAAGAGCATCATTGCTTTTTCCCTCCTCTGAGGATGCTATCTGTTTACCCCTTTGAGGAACTCTCTTTAGTCTCCCAGTTGCCACTAAATGACAGTGCTGGCAGCAGTTATCCGAAGCCATTATGTGTCATTAGAGAGTTGAGAAAATTGTGAGAATCAGTGACTTCCCGTCGAGTTATTACAGTACAGTCACGAAGACCAGAGCGGGTAGGATATCTGTATTCAATCTGTGATATCTCAAACTCAAACGTCTTCTGTAGTAGCAAAACTATAGATTCTCAAAATTGGCTAGTCATTGGGTTGCCTTAAAGGCTAGTTTTTTGATGAAATCAGAGAGCTTTCTGACCCTGCATAGACTGCAACACAACTACCACATTAAAGGCCTACAAAGGTAGTAAGGACTTTGTTAAAATAGTTCATGTGACATCTGTTAAATTTTTTTTGATGAAGATGAAGACTGACACAAAAGAGAAGAAATTGTTGAATAATGTCATTATTTTTGTTTTCTTTGTGCACAAGAAGTATTCTCATAGCTTCATAAAATTACGATTGAACCACTGATGTCACACTGACTATTTTATCGATGTAATTTTTTAGCTATATCGCCCAGCCCTAGTCCTTACTACCTTTCTGGATCTTGTAAGTGTCAGTTGCATTGCTGTCTATACAGGGATAGAGAGCTCTCGGAATTTATCAGAAATATCTTAATTTGTGTTCTGAAGATGAACGAAGGTCTTACGGGATTGGAATAACATGAGGGTGAGTAATTAATGACAGAATTTTCATTTTAGGGTGAACTATCCCTTTAAGCAAATTAGCATGAACCCAGTTTAACAGCTAGATGGAGCACAACAGGACAAAGACTATTACGCTCTAATTGTTTTGAACTTGACACGTCGTTCAGTCTACCGTTTGTAATGCCTGATCAAACAACATCGTTCGTGTAAAACATAGTAGCTTAGAATAACGTCAAAATGCGGTCACACTTACCGTGTACGTAGCAAATTTTTATTGTTATTTATTTTTTACTCCACACGATTAGGAATTTTATGTGAGGGCGAAAGATTCCCCAACCAGATTTCATACAAATTTGCCACGTTGACCAACACAAAATTGAAAATGTGAGCTGTACTTTAGGGCTGCACGATTAATCAAATGTGATTGTCATGCGTATCTTGTCAGTAAAGCCGGTTCTGTGATTAGTAGTAAATCTCCATCACCTTCTTTGAGATGCAGCAGCATTTACTACACAGTGCCATAGTTCACTGACAAGCTGAGATTCTGCCTAATTGCGATTTATCGCCTTTGCGATTTAATTTCGATTAATCGTGCAGCCCTACTGTACTTTATACATAGCTACACTATTAACAATAAACAATGGACCTATTTTTGGTTATGAAATTTTGTTAACGTGACCACACCTTTAGTCGATTATTCCGATTGCGTAATCTGTTGGCCTATTGCAAAGGTTCAGTTTAGCACATTGTAGACCAGATTGCTTTGACTGCCACATGCTAAACACATTAGCTTAGCTTGTATTTTTACACAGGGTAATACTGTAGACTAAGCTAATACTAGGCTAATCCACTAATTGTATGCTAAAAGAGTACGTTAAATTATTAGTTTGCAAAATCTATTCTAATTAAAATACACAAAGACAAGTTGATTTAAAATTGATTTTAAACCATTGTACTGTGAAAGAACTCAGTTTGGCACTTCGAACACAGAATTCAGCCCTCTTTCATATCTCCTTGCGTTTGAATGGACGAATATACTCAAATTATGTCAAAATAGCCGTCTCAGCAAGTATTCCCATAAACGCAGTCAGTTACGTCTTACATGAAGTGAACGTGAACAGAAAGCATTCGGATATGTAACAGTATATTGGATCCATGCATTAGGTCTTAAAGTGACATCAGCTATACCTGCTGCTGTCGGTGTCAGTTACCTTAATCAAACAACAAAACATAAACAACTTTAACAGAGATTAATCTATATTTAATTGATACAATAAACACTTAAAAGTAGACATTTGTTCCACCCCCCCCCATTTTTACTTATCTGAAAAATGATCTGATCCATGACTGAAACACCATAATATTATCCGAACTGTGAGTTTTATGATACATAGCACCGCTAGCCAATAGAGTGCAACAGTCGGTGTAAAAATGTGTTCAACAGCAGAATTCCAGGTGAAGACTGCATCACCCATGATTCTGTAAAGAAATATCCACCAATCAGAGAACAGAAGCTAGCAAATCACTCCAAATTAACTCTTTAGTGCCCTCCCTACTTTCATGAAGTAATGCGAGTGACGTAATGGAGTCAATAGTTTAATCAATCAATAGTTGTTGTTTTTTTCTCAGTATTTTTCTCCATAGTTTTTAATTTGATGATGTTATTAACATTGCTTCAGGGATTGTAGTCCTTTTCCTCACTAAAGCCATTGAATACAGTTCTGTACCTTTGTCTTTTTGTCTGATTTTAAAATACATTTTTTGCTTCATGTAATATAGTAGTTCTCCTCATAGCTGGTTGGTTGGGTTCATGGCTTATAACTCTTTAATGAAGACTTTTTTAAAATCCCTATGGAAAAAATTAATGGGGAAAACACATCCGGAACCAAAGTTGCTGAAAAAATGCACTATGGAAATGCTATGGGCTCTCAGGTCACTTGGGACATCACCAATCAGCTTGTTGGTTGTTGTTGGATTAGCCGACCATTTTGGCTCATTCCACATCAGCGGTGTAGCATACGGTCTGGACCGACTCGAGAGAGCAATCCTGCATTAGATGCCCACAGATGCATGATTGTGGCACACGTCACGTCTCTGATGCCCAATCCCAGAGGCATTATGGGTGACAAATGGTGCCATTGCTTGTCATTCTGAGCGGTGACTGATTGTTTGTCTATGTCACGCACAAACCTGCTTTCGTGGGACGTGATTCCTCCGTGGG